TACAATCGGTACAATGTCAATACACAATACGATTAAGTGATAATATAATTTATGTCAATAATATAATGTGATTGCAAACACCCTGCGCTTTTTTTTATTTATTGGTGTCATAAAACACGTACCTAGATGTTTTGTTTCTTTGTTTAACGCCGCACTCAGTAATATTCCAGCTAAATGTACTTATGAGGTTAACACCAGGTGTTTGTGACGGGTGTCCATCGACATATGTTCGCAGAGATATTTAAAATACAAGATGAGATAAATGTGTATCTACACGAAACTTTAAAGTGCGTTTTATAAAAAAAAATATGATTTGACATACAAATCAAAATGAAATTGAATAGACTTGATGCTTATTCCACATACTTGTAATTAATTAGATTTCACATATGTTCAGACGGTGTATTGTGCATATGTGTATGTGATGTAACAGCGTTTCAATGTAGAGGTGTTCGGGTAGCTATAAAGACCACGAAACAAAAAGTATCCGAAAATTCCCAAGGGAATCTACAATACTTTGGCAAGTCTAGATTTCTTCAATTTCGGAAACTGAAGAGATTCTCACATAATATATTAAAATACAATCTAACCTCCCACCCCACTAAGAAGACCCAATTCATTTGAGAGACGTAATGCTAGTCTAGTGTTCAGGCTCCAGGCTCGGATCCAAGTCAGGGTCAGGGTCAAGGTCAGGAGCAGTAGAGAGACGTATTTTTGTTTCAAGGGATTAGACCAAGTAACAGAGCCAGGTTGGGGCTCAAATGCATGGTTTACTTGAGGATCAAATGTATTGTCATCAACCTACCGGAGTCAAATGATGATAGATAAAGAAGACTTGACTTGGGTCCCACGGAAGTAACTAGTTTAGCGTTTTCTAGTTAAGCGGAGTAAACTTAAAGGAGGATTTGGTCCTATTGTCAGACCAGGCAAGTTTGATTCAAGTCTCAAGTAATTTAAACCGTGTCTGTCTTTCAAAGTTTAGTATTTAAATCTTGCAGTTGATGGGTAGTCACATTACACAGAGACAAGTTTCAATCGCACACAATAGTAACGTCTATTTACTTATGTCTAGGCAATGGAAATGCATTTGTTCACAAAACATTCCTGTCTGTCACACGCATAAACAATGCTTTTGGAATATAAGAATCAAGAAATCACATCAAAAGCAGAATATTTCAATTGGAACCAAAACAAAAAAAGTAAGTTAAGTTTTTGTAGAGAGAACATGCATCAAACAAAATTTATGTCAAAAATGGATATAAACGCATAGAAATCTGTTTCCGTTTAGTGCGATATAATTAAGAGAGTGATGGCTCTACGACATACAGTGACGTCATTCCACATAAGTATTAGGACCATAACCAGAGGCTGGCATCCCAAAACTGCCTCATCACATCAGCATCAGAAATGAAAGAAATATAATAAACATTAAATGAAGCCACTGAAAGAGATCACGTTGTATGTGGCATATCCGTTGTTATTTGGAAGACATCATCAATTAGCGAAACATTTCAATTAGTCAAAATAATTTAATTTGATGACATTCGGACAGTTCTTTGATCTTCTGTCAATAAATCATAAACTGTCAAAACGTGGAGGTATTCTTCCTGGCAGATGAAATAAACTCATTTAGGGCAAGATGGATTTCATTCCGGTCTCAGCAGCATGTTGTACGTTCCGATGTCACAAATCAATGACAAATTAGCTTCTCTGTGCACGACAAATGATATCACGGAATAGATAGAACAACTAATGATTCATATGATCTGAGTATATAGCATTGACCCTCAGACAAGCTTAACCAAGGAATAGGGCTTACTTTCTCTCTCGGTCTGTAATTACGGAGCCATATAACAGCCTTCTTGCATGCTATACCGGCTACCTAACCTTGAAGGCCTGCAGCAATGCAATTGGAACATTGTCAAGCGGGGTTTATTAGCTTACGTGGAGTTAACTTTTAAGGAACGGCATTCAATCAGTTTTTAAAAATCACGCGGGGTAGATTAATAGAAATCGATTACTTGATTACTTTGGAACAATGGATGTGATTAAACGTCAATAAAATCAGAAATATATAACAATGCAGAATTATTTCAAGAATAATGGTGTGCGAATAATATGTTCTCTGATCAAACATGACATGATGCGATAGAGCGAAACCTTGTTAATCCGGGCGATAGTTCTTCTAGGGAACTCAGGGTAACGTTATTGTATGTGTTTAGACACTCCGATCATGTTCGGGGTCCGTACAAATGAGGTTTTACTACATACGTGGAATAGCCTTAAGCATACAAGTGGGTGACAGTGTGTTTTAAAGATTCAAGCTGAGGAGTGAGTGAGTGAGTATGATTTAACGTCGCTTTTAGCAATATTCCAGACATTTCACGACGGGGGACACCAGAAATGGGCTTCACACATTGTACCCATATCGGGAATCGAACCCGGGCTTCGGCCTAACGAGCGAACGCTTTAACCACTAGGCTACCCTACCGCCCCTTCAAGGTGAGGAAGTCATCAAGACTGTTCAAACGTTTCCATTGCGAGGACATTTGGTTATAATCAGACGCGCTGTGGAGAGTTTTGTTTATTTATATTTTGAGTGTGGTAGACACATTTTGAGAAACTGGGAAAAAACACAGTAGCATCGTTTTACTGACAAGATCGAGATACTTCGCCTGGTACATTTACATGCAAAATCAATCAAGAGTGTAACGCATGATTGTTAAGCTGTCATGCAGATGTTTTGTGCCGAGCGGCCGTTGTTCCTTCTGCTAAATGAAACACAATCTTTTTTCGTAGACTTGGTGACATTCTCTGTTAACTATGATTTATTTAACAGAATGCTTTCAACTGTATTCCGTTTTTCAACACAGTTCGTGAGTATGCTAACCGTTACGAAAACATTGAACATACCAACATTCAGACAATACCGAAACCATCTCACATGATTTGCTCGTTTATATACAAATTAAACGACGTGCCATGGTTTGTGGAATATGATATAAAGCATTCATCACTGTGTCATCAGTGTCATCACTGATTTTCAGTGGTCTACTCATATAATTTTCACAGCTGTTTTGCCCTTCACGCCAAATCTAATGTTTTGGCGGATAATCTAGACTGGTTATTCTCACGCATTGACTGTTTATATTTAAGAGCCAGCTGACGGGAATCGGCGGTTACAATGCGTGACCTCGATAACTGGTTGCCATTACACACCGACGACGTGGAGCGTTGCTCATGCTATCGCCCACTAGCTTAATCCGGATTCGGATATTTACGTTCGGTGGTAATATAGTAGGAATATATTACTATGGCCTCAAACAACCTTCACTCACTCATTCAATGCCGTAAAATATGTAAAAACGATATAAATTTCCTTCATATATATTCAGAGGTATTTGTGGAGAATTATTATCCATAGAATTATCTGAGTATTCATACACAAGGACGACTGACAAATCTGGACTGGTCCTTTCGCAAAAGAGTGAAAGATGAATTTGACAACAAGCACGGGATAAAAGGGCGTCATACTTGTCCATATTGCCGAGGTTTTACTTTAGATTGTGGACATTTTCAAATGTATCGTAGGTTATATTTTATATACACCTGGGCACCTAGTCTAAACATGTTCATAGACACTTGCCAACCGTACAGCAAAAAAACTGTAATCATACATACATATATTCTTATTTGATTGCGATTCATTCATTTAACTTAATGCATGATGAACTATTCATTTACGTTTCCAAGAAGTTTCGAAAGTTTATATTTAGTAATAACGTATATCTGTAAGATGACATTATTATTCTCAAACCCAGCTGAATCTCTCATTCGGTCACCTTCATAAAAGCCTTCAGACCTTGTCAGTATTGCTTACACGTTTACTTTACCAGCCCTTACCAAGCATACATGAGCGTGCATGTTTAAATAGACAACGGTGAATATCAAGTAATACTCATTTGAGTTGTCTATAATTCACAGTTTGCGAGGAGCTGTCTTGTTTCTTTACATTTAATAAGGACGAGGTTAAGCGACATAATTTCAGCTATCAGGAAATATTCTCCCGTTTACAATCAGATCCTTATGCAAGGAATGCCAAGAGAACTCTTTCGCGACAATGCCCCAGTACTAAGTCTATTTGATCGGGTCGCTCAAGGTCCCGTGTCTGTTGGCGGCGACCAAATATAGTGTGTCGATGTGAACTTTAATCTCGAATGAAAGGAGTCTCTCAGAGTGGCACTTTTTTATTGTTTTTCCTTATTAGAGGCGATTCCTGACTGCTTGAAATATTTGTCAAGTTTTGCCCACTGTTCCTTTATTTGTTGCATTGGCAGTGATTCGAAAGATCCATTTCGAAGCACTAAGTAAATACTTCAAAATATTCAGGAATAGCCCCGAATTTTCCTTCTAAAAATGCACCATAAATAATTAAAAATCCATTGTGTTCCTGTCTGCCCACTTTTGCAATTTCAAAACCCTTTCCATAATCATAAGAACGTGTTTAACTGCTTCACCATAGTCGTGTTTACAGCTTTCGCTCCTTAATTAACCTAATCCCGAGAACACGTTTAGAATTCTGCCCAGTATAACGTATGCAGTTGAGTAATGATTCAATCATATATTGTGTTTGAAACCTCTGGCTCAGTAGCAGCGGCTATTGCCACAACTGGCTCTAATTGAATGCAGTTTATTCAGTTTTGACAGACATTTGTCGGATTTCAAACACTACTTTAATTCAATAAATCATATTCTCTTTCCCCCACATATTTCAGTTGAATATTTCCGTCCTTAAATCCGACAAATGTATTGTCATGGCGATCTATAACATGAGGACAAGAGACCTATATTTTCAATCAATTATTTAGTCGTTTAAATATTAAAAATCGGCATGACTTAAATACAATCGTCTAGAATTACAGTTAACTGCAAATCAATGTGGACGTCTCTTGTTCTCATAGGAAACTAATTCAGTTGTAAATCAGAAACAAAGTCAGATATATAATAAATAACATCATTTATTTCGTGTGTTTGTGTAATATCTTTGACAGACATGTGCACATGGATGGCACATCCCAATATACAATATGGCACGAACGTTCTGACATGACTAGTGTTAAACGCTGTTTTTTACAAAAATACAAACTTTATATATATCATATATATCTGAAACAATTTCAACCACCGATAACAAGGGTCTATGCATAAACCATTGGTGGTTATATACATTTTGTTCATTGTATAATTGGAGAATTTTCGTCAGGGCAATTGGAATTTGTATTCGAACAAGATAGCACTTTTTGCAAAAGAAAAATCTAGAGCACCAAATTCAGCTTGAGCCTTCTACTTCTGGTCGTCATCAAACTAGAGGAAATTAATTAGAAAATCTTGCATATATAATATATCTAGTTATCAAAGCTGCTAATATCTTGTGGAATAGCGAGAACTAAATACGAGGTCGGGGTCTGAACAAACTATTCACTTTGTGAATTTAGTCAAAGCTTGTATTTAAATTGCACTTATCCTGATATGATTGTAGATGAACGTTTTGATGGACGCTATAATAGCACTAGGCACTATATAAGGGTCATAAGGATGAGCTAACGAGTGTATAATCTATATGAACTAGAACCATACTTCGGTACCCAGCGCCAGGCCAGATACCTCGTTTCTGTAACAATTCTGCTACCAGGCAGTACCAAAAGGGTTTTTGGCCGAAATGAAAATTCAAACGTAGTTTGAGACAAAATTTGATAACTGGCCAAAACGAGTTTTACGTATACATATATATATAAATGCATATAACAACACATACAATGGAAGATTCGAGTAAGGGAGCATTCCTTTTTCTCACCCCTCAACGTGCCCCTCAATGAACTGGGCCAGCCCAATCATTGCGGGGTCCGGGGAGGAGAATTTCCAACATGCAAATTTGGCACCAGACTGACACGGACCTGCCGTACACAGTCGGACACCAGCCGAAACAAAATATTGCATAAATGACAGAAAATCCTGTCACAGATACATCCTAACAAGATGTACAAGTACACCCTAACAATAGCTGATCAAATCTGCCTGAACGGCTGCACAGAGTACATGCAAAGCGTCCCATGTGACCGACAGTGAATTTCCCCAGTGGGAATGGTCACCTTAAGTTCAAAATATCGAGTAGCAGTGTCCCAATAAATGTCACTTTTCGGGCGATTCCGGCACACGGTGCTCGACGCTGCATAGAAAACCAACCGGACCCCGAGAGCTGCTGTGAGCTCTCGCCGTTGCAACCTTGCGTTGTTCAGACTGTTGCGAATCTGAATCCAACACTGCATATCAGACTGTTCATATGTGGCGCTTCATGTGGAGAGAGAGATGGTCACTTCTTGAGAAGGCACGTTCACAGAGATGGCACTGGAATGGGCGATCACCGGTATGTTTACGGTAATGACGGGTCAGCTCGTCCGAACGGGCGAATTTCCACCCACATCCTTTCCACGTACAGTGATAAGGCTTCTCGCCTGTGTGGGTTCGGAGATGAGCCTTCAGGTGAGAGCTCTTGGTGTAGGTCTTCATGCACCCAGGGTGGGTACACGTGTGACTTGTCTGTCGCTTTCTTCCCCATGTCCGTCGGCCTCGTTTCTTGGGTTGAGCTGAAGAATCTACTGGCTGCTGAGGGAGAAGGAGATCAACCAGCTGGGGAGATGATGGCGGGGTGATCATCTGATGAACCTGAGACATGTGCCCTTGTAGCTTGGGCATGATGTGCTGTGGATGGAGCATCAGGGCGTGGGGGTGAGCCATGTTATGGTAGAGATTCATGGGGTAGCTCTTCATGTGATGGTCCTCACGGTGTTCTGGGGAGGCTGGGGGAGATATCTGCCCAGGGAAGGCCATCTGGTGTTGTGGGGCGGAAATAACAGTCATGCTGGCGGTGTATGTAGCACAGGAGTTGGGCACGAGAGGGAACTCCTGTTTGGGAATAACAGGCTTGAATTCTTGACGTTTGTTAACCTCAACGCTGACTTGATGAGCAATAGGCTCAGATTGGTTGGTCTGAATAACGTGTACGTTGGCATCAAACTTGATATCTGGGATATCAAGGAAAGCGGAATGAAAGTCTGGCAAAGGCTCACAGGTCGAACCTGGTTCCTGCTTAATCTTCATCCCTGCATCTTCAGGGTAGAGATTGTTTTCTGCGGCAGTGTTATTCAGGATGAAATCCAGATCAAGCAACTCATCATACTGAGTATCTTGGGACTGAGGGGAAAGCTGGCTGACCGGGCTGGCTGCAGACTTGATACTTCCGTACCCCGGGCTCCCTGGAGAGGAGACGGAGGTGATGGCACTCATCCCCGGGGACGGGAGGTTGGTGTTCAGGGAGGCTGGCTTCATCGCTTCAGTCATCATCTGCACCATGCTACTCTCGTATGGCGTGTTGTCTTGGTACAGCAGAGACTCAACATCTTGCCAAGTCTGAAAAAAACAAAGACAAACATAAGACATATGACACACGTATACCATAAAAACAGTCAACACCATATACGATACCACATGTCTAGAGTACACGGCACTTGTCCCATGATAATGTCACTTACCAATTGATCAATATCACACTGAAGGTAGTTCATAGCGTAAGGTTGTTCAACAGTATGTCCGGCTGTCGAGCTTGTCTGCATGTTGTGTGGTGTATCTATGTACATGTGGACTTATATACATACAGTACGTTGCATGCAGAAGAGATGCGATCCGATTATTAGAGATTGGGTACTGACCTAAGCATACGCTCGTGCAAAGATCTATCATTCGAGGTCAAGGAAACACAATTAGCTCGTGTGAGACAGTAGTCACGAGACTTGACTGCGATGGAAACCCGCCAAACATCCCTTGCTAATTTCCTTCCAGACGCAAGTAATTATCTGATCGTTTTAATTTCATAACCAAGGACATTCGATTGCTATTAAGTGCTGATATTGTACATAATCGCCTCATACATACATATATTACGTGATATTTATTTCTCGATAGCAACTATGCCTGCGGGATAATTTGTTTTAGCTTAACGTCATATTTCAAGAACGTTTTCCGTGATGAAAGTATTTATAAGAAATATTTACATTCGCCCTGCGTGTGTGAAATGTATTTCCTTAAATATCTGTACACAATACATCCGCTAACCAATGGTTTATATCACACAAGATACACCGTAAAGGTTCATGATAAGATTAAATTCAGTTATGCGACATAGGAAATGTCTGTGAAATTGACATTTGTTGATTTCATCAGCTGTGCAAGTCTCGGTCCGCTGGACACAGGTGATAAGCCCACTGGTCTCGTTATCACGTGTGTTGTCAGTTTAGCTTGCAGCGTACTATGAAACATGCTACAGAATTCAAAGATCCTAGTCCCATATCACTATCCCAATCCATCAAATAGTTTCACACAAATATACATTGCTTCATCCATGGATTTGATGATACAGAAGCAGGACGTTCCATCACTTAAAATTTACATCAGCGTTGTGAAATGTATCACATGTCAATTCATTATAATACAAAACACTGTTACTAAACACAACACACGTGTGCTTTTTTCCATTTAACTAAAGCTGTCATAAATACATGATAAAGGTGCAATAAAATACATACGTTTTGTAAGTCCATATTATCCTCGTATTTGATAAGTGAGTTTCCTCCGAATCGAGATTGTGTATCCAGCATTGGATCCAAAACTTGGGTCATTGTTTTCAATCAAACTCCTTTAAAGTTTCTCAGAGAACAAGCAACTTGCTTCGGCTAGATCAAAATTGAACTGAATGTATTTTCTGCAAGTCAGAAAATCTTATAGCTTCTAATTTCGTACGGCGAATTCTACACGATCGCTGTGATTGGCTGCTATTAATAGTAGTAGTATAAAACTACACTGCTAAAGCCTCGCTGAGCAGAAGTCGCTCGGGCGATATGGCGAGCGGGTCGTGACGAGATCCTGTGCTGGAAACAATACACACAAACACACTCTGCTGTTGGGAGACGATTAGTCATAGAGTTTAGTGTGACGTATGTAACACACAGTCGCTATTCTTACTTCATTGGAAACTCATAACCACACAATCCATTCGTAGTATACATATGGTATTCAGTGACCTCTCACCCCGTGGGACGAGGAAGCGATCGCTACCGGGGCTATCCCACACATATCGGAGATTGTAGGTTTGTGGTCCACTGTCGTACGATACTTTCTATTAGTCGCTATTAATAGATGAATATATAACTATACACAACATATCTCAGAGTTGTTCATTTTGGACACTCGTTCATATGTGTTCACACATATATTCCCTGCTGGAAGTATTATCGTGAGGTAGTGACGGTGTTGAATGTCCGTTTATGCAGCGGCCAAGATTGAATGTGTACACGTATATCATGAATTAATACTGATAAGGGTATTATGTTATGTATAAAATATAAATAAGGACTTTTCACATACAGAAAACATGCTTTTATTCATCGAAACAGGATTATTTTCATTTGATAACAATTTGAGAACAAGATACTTTTATCAGCGCTTATAAAGTTCTAACAGCATAGGAATATTTATATCAGTTTAGGAGACTTCATACGTTGGAATAAATAAATATTTCTCTCTATATTTAAACCGGTTGCAACATCATTTTATGAACAAAATTGGACTTATACTGTTACCTGTGTAAATAGACTAAACCCAGCATCTTATACACGTGCAGTGTGGGGACTTAAATTAAATTTGTATCTGAAGATATAGTTTACACGAGAAAGGTTTTATAAAATGTAAATAGATAACTTATGAATTAAAATTATCGCTAGATTATATTTAATCTGAAATATATGGGTTTTTTTCTTTTAAGCTACATTCATTAATCAAGATACGTGAATCATAGTTTTACGATTAAGGCAAATTGTTTAAACTGTTCAAATTATTGACGTTTACATATCACAAATAGGTTTCATATTCAATAACACCTTTTATCCTATTGTTTTGTCGATATCCACAAGTTGTTATAGGAATTTTGACTGTCTACTATAATATTCAATACGTATTCCTCAAAACCTTAAAATGATATTTATTATCTTATATAAAAGAAATAAAGATGTTATTTATTTATTTAAGTGTTATCCTGTTTTTCACTTTTTCTCACGGGACATATCTGCACTCTAAGGCATCTTGTTTACTTCGTGTTTACCTTGCATGGTAACCTGCTGCGCAGGCTAGGAGAAGGGAGGTAACTCTGAAGCTCGCGGTCGCAATTTTGTTTCACTGAAAGATCACATGTTTCGCCAATGTTGCCTTTATCCATTGCCATGCCAACTGGCATCGTTGCAAATACCATGACACGTCATTTCTAAGCTTTCACGAAATTCCTTATCAAATAAGATATAAGTTAATAAAATTAAAATGCAAGATAAAATAAATCTATTACATAATATAGATAGAACGGTTGTCAAATACAAAAGGATCCGATTGTAACTCGACAATTTTATAACGGCAGGAACAATTTAAAAGATTAATTACCAACTTGCAATTTTACCCTCTGTCCCAAAACAAGAAATTTCACTTCAGCCGCCACGAATTGTTGCCAGCAAGCGAGACATGGTTTGTTTACCCGCGGGTACTGTCGGGTCTCTTCGTGCCACCGGGTTCCATGTCTGGTGTCAATTAACGCAGGTATTTTTGTAGAACCATCGGAATCAACATAATTATAGCCGAGGCACTGTGTAGGTGACAGGCTCACGGCGACAACAATTGGTGTGACACAGGGGGTATTCGGCCATGTCAACAAACCATATTGTACACAATTTGTCCTAACCCTCTTCATGGATGCTTATTATCCATCCCAACCCCCACCATCGCGTTTCCCCACCCCCACCATCCGGCTCCCCAACCCCTTCAATAATTGACATGAGCGTCATGTCTGTTCCGTTTTGTGAATTAAAATGGTTAAAAATGAAATACATCAGTAATATCTTTTAAATTTATTCATACGTACACATTTTTTGTTTTATATTTAATCTAATGAACACATCTTTTTAATGAGATCGTTAATTTGGTAACATGTCTGTTGATAACGCAAATTAGTCCTTGTCTCTTTCTGTTATTGACCGTTTGTGTGTTTACATTACAATTGTTAGGTACATTTTAATTGCTCTATTTAATCTGGTAATTTTATGTGCGCATGCACCTTGAATTTCATGAATTGCATGGTTCAGTTTCAGGTATAAACACAACAAGCGTCACGCACGTGAATTATAAAATGTAAAACCGCAAAAAAAATCAACACACATTTTGAATATTTGATCAAGATCATGGCAAGTTGTAGTTCCATACAATAGCCAAATAGAACCGTTATGCTTATCGCTGTAGCCTTTTACTACTGACACAAATGTTTCACTTAAAATGAAAAAGCTCCAATTTACAAAAGCCCATGCCAGGCGAAAGCCAACACAAGGAAACAATTAACGATTCAGTACACTACAGTGTGATCAGGTAATGTACGTGCATGTTGACGCGTGTGTGAGCGAGTCGAGGGTTACCTGTCGAACGAGACGACCCAAAACCGTCACCTGTCATGAGAAGTGAACCCTGTCACCCTAACTGATTGTTTGAAATAATTAACACAACGAATAGGATAGATCCCGTAGTTCACGTTAAAAATGTCAAGTTTGTTTGGCTGATTTGCACCGTGAATACTTAGCAGGATAGCGGCACGGGGCAGTACGTCCCACTAGGATTTTGAAACGGGGGGAAAGAGTTTGCACTTTGAAACCTTTATAAATATCAATATCATATTTGAAATTAAAAGGAAGGATAATAACATTATATATTTAGATACCAGCATGGTTTATGAAAATGTTTTTGTTTCTAATTGTAACTTGATGTTGATGATTGTAATTTTGATTGTGTTTATTTTGTTTATCCGTATTGACACGCATGTATACTTGTTGCAATTTATCCTCATTATTCACATTACTTATTTAAGAGATGTTGATTCAGATTATTTTAACAACCTTCTTTCTCTTTAACGAGTTTGTAATATATATGGTACTTTTAACAACACATATATTATAATTCGGTAAATTTGATCATTATGAACAAGGTACATATATTTGTATCATAAAAACATTTTATCTTAAAAAAGAGAACATTAGACATTCCTTGTATTTGAAACTACTTAAATCGCTACAATGTTATTCCGCGATACCCACTAAGTCTTGATGAAAAAAAATCCCTAATATCTTGGCGTTGTGAATAGACAAAAACATGGAATATGATAAATCGGATATGATCATTATTAGGCTTACACTGCAAGTGGTACTATTATCAAAAACAGCACATCAATTATCTCATTTAATACCATTCTCTTCAACTTACAATTTGGAGTTCTGATAATTCGGTAATAAGAAGATAATCGATCATTGAATTTCTTTCTATCCAAATGTTCTTTATTGCTGATGAAATATAATTACGTTGAGGAAATAATAATAGAATCGGGTAGCTAATATTGATAAGTGCCTGCCTTGATTTCAGATGCATTGTGGAACACACAGCATTCAAGGCTATCATCTTTCGGCTGGGTTTATGACAAATGACTACTAAATAGCTTATATCGACATTAGCGCTGATTTAGTCGTTGTGAAAGGCTTTGTCATATTGAATATGAATAATGAAGTTTATTTGCGATGCTTTGATCTTTTTATGTATTATTTATCAAGGTAATCAAATATAGTATGACATTGATCGAATATTAAATCATCATTGTTTTGAGTCACAAAGTCAATCTTATGTCAAGTTATTTTATAAAATGCCATACGTGTTACTGAAACTGCTATAGTACATATTTTATTACTAAATGGGGATGACAGTGAAATCTAACACCATTGTCCAGACATATGGACATAAACAATTGCATTTTCTTCATATTTCTTCAAATTGCATCTCCACATGAACTTTGAAACAGCAGGAAAAGACTTAAAACCTAATATTTCCATATTAGGACAAGTATGTTGTATCACATAAATTAATACTCTACAAAGAATCCGCTCCGTTATCACTCCTGTCTGACGTCACACCGAGCGTCGTCATGGCAACGAGTCAACAAACAAACCTGATCGCTCGGCGTCCGCTTGCTTCAAACGAGGAAATTAATCGCACCTGACATCATGTGACTCCAGTCGCCCACAAAATATTTCTATCCTTGAACACTCCGGAAAGTTCTGTACATCGATAGAACACGGGCCAGTTTGACCTCTGAGATTTGCGGTTTTTTAACAAGTAGCTGTTGCGGGGAGTGTATGTAAGGGCCATGAATTATGAAAGGGAAATATTTAAGGATCGGAGATTTAGGGTGCAGCTTTGTACTTTAAACAGGTTTTCGGAAACTATATAGTTTTCGTTATCCAACCCCCAGCTTCATCTCTTAGCA